GAAGAAAAACTTCAACGCCGAGGAATGCGTCCATTAATAATGCACCTCGGATGAAAAAAAAAACGAACAAAAGCCGACGAAAGATTAATTACATTATACGGTAGCGTAATGTTAACGATTAGCTAGAGCACCGAGTGGTACTCGCGTACTAACCTATAATTATAGACAATGATGGGCGGAGTTAAATGCAATCACGTGACAATGCGCTTACCCAACCGATTGACAGTTTACAATAAAACACACCTAGTCCCAGAGCTGGTTGTGCAATTGGAATATTTTTCCGATTTTACAGGGCGAGCCCTTACTTTGGATTGAAGATCATATTTTAGTCCAAAATAAATTACAATATTATGCTCTACTAATTTTGGAAAGACTTAAAAGAATCCAGTCATTCCTAGTCAACATTGGGATTATCTATACCCGTATAGTGTCCAGTTTATAAGTGTAGTGCTGTTAAAAAAATATAATAGTTGGCAATTTTTCGAAGTTAGGTCGAAAGGGCAAGTGATGAGGAAAATAAAGTCGTTCCCAAAGCCACATTAAAAAAATTCCCCATGGGATGGCATCTTCTGTTTAAAAAAAAATCAATAGTAGTAATCCTCTTCAGCCTGCGGGCAATACCTGTACAACATTGTAACCACCTATTGGTAATTACAAGAATAGGTATGGTTTCGCGATAAACAATCTAAATCATACACATCGACAAACGAACCATCTGTGATTTCCGACACCGATTGATCGTACACGTAAGTGGCGAAATCCAATAGCAATTTCGCAATTTTCTCATTCTTTCCGATAAATATCTTTGTACTAATACTGTAATTTAAACACGCATTCGTTTGCTTCGTCAAATTCGGTTTAGCTCGAAATTTATTCTGGCTCAAGGGCTAAGCATGATGTAAAATACTAGTTCACAATTACATGGATGCACTACAACCTGTAATTACAAACGTGATTGCCGTAATTTATTGGCAATGTTCTCATTATGCATTCATACCAATCCTTAATTGTTTTACAACCAACTAAATGATTCGTTTGCGGGTGTTTATCATCAATATCGAGCCAAATTAGAATTTTTGGCAGATGTATTGTTTTGCTGACCACAAGCTCATATAATATAGTATATATTTAAATTATTGTAGTATAGAAAATTACTTAGAGCAAATTTCTCGATTTTTTCTACTTCCTGTTCATCAGTGCTCAGTATTCCTTCTTAGAACGGGTAACAACATACACTAGTTAAACTGTTGTACTTGCTGGTAATTATTTTAATATCTTCTGATGGATGTTCGCGAGACTTGCGAGCCTATTATAAATCAATTACTTACAAATTTCCTTTTATTTTCGAAAAAAGAAAACAACTATTCTTTCCAGTATAATGGCTGGTGTGTTTAAAAAAACCACGTGTAGGATTATTAATCTAGTCGATCGACATACATTCCGTCGTATATATGATGTATATACGAGTTGGTAAAAAAGTATGGCGATTATAAGAAGTGCAGATCAAACGAGACCTCCCAAGTTGTGGGTCTCATTCGACCTACCAGATATTCCAAGTTGTACCGTCGGCCATTGATAATAATACCGTCTCTGCTCAAACGATTTTATACTCGATTAAAAATAAAGAGTTGAATTTTTGATAACAGCACTTACGGAGTTGTCGACCGCCATTAAATTTTTGCACACCATTTCGGCGTGTTCCAAAAATATTGAGTCATTACACTGAGAAAAAGGTTGAGTTATATGTAACCAATGTGGTTAAGAATTAAGCTATGAGAGAATCAGAATCCGACATAACCAATTTTTATTAGGATATAACCAATAATTGACTATTAAATTAGTAATATACGATGTATTCCTTAAAATAAAATGTTGATTAAAAATAAAAATACTTATATATTTATTGCCACTATTAATGATATCAACACAACTACACCAGGTTATTAACAAACTTTTCTAGGTTTTTTTATGAACTCGATAGATTAATAATAAATACACTAATATTTATTATAAAACCAACCTGAATTTATTTTTAATCAACTCTCAATTGTATTTACCTAATAATTATATTAGGTTCATTTATACAGGATGACTTGTATTGCTACTTTTATATTTAGGTTAGGTTTCAGTAAAATCAGTTCTAATTTCGGTTTTAACTGATTTTACTGAAAACTATCCCAAAAATATAAAAGTAGAAATACAAGTCATCCTGTAAATAAAACGGGAAAATAAGAATTGTTGCAAATGAAAAATGCTTAATAAAGGTATTTGAAAATATTTATTGAACTTAAGTTATTAATTGAGGTACATTAACAAGAACAATAGAACAAAAATAAGGGTCGAGAACGGTAAGGGTCGAAAGTCTTGTGAAGTAGATGCAGAACTAGTAGATGCAGTCTTCCTAAACAAAAACCAAAAGAAAACTTATTTCAGAATAGGAAAAAACGCAATACCTTACAAATTAATTATTTCTCCTTCGGTCAAGAAGACAAAATTTTTCTCCTCTGATTGGACAAATTTCTTCGAAATACTGTTCGTCGTGAACTAGCATGCAGCTCCAATTCTGCCATGTTCTTGATTGAATTAACTGCAATGAAATAAAAACCGTTACAAAAATAAAAAAAGCTAAGAATTAATGTTTACTTACAAATAAAGGAATTGAACTTTCCAATCCTAAATCCTCCACAAATTTGTTTTTCAGTCTCTCATGAGCTCCGGTTCCTGTCATTTTTGTTGTTGTGATTAAATAATGCAATCAGAACAAATTCATTACTAACCTGCATAGTAATATCCTTTACAGAAGCACTTTTACACAATTATGTAACAAACAATTAAATACAAGCAAAATTCTTGCACTACAAAACTGTTACTACCGGCGACCAGCCTGATGGTTGCAGGAATTTTGGGAAACGGTACGGTTAGTACGGCGTGGCGTACGGTACAGCATCCATCAAAACAAATAGAACAATAGCCAACAAAGCCAGTGAAATTAGGCGGACTACGTCCATATATTAGATATTAATCAATAAATATTATTTATTATTCTCTATAATATTGATAATTTTAAATATAATAAATTTATATTAAATTAATTAATTACTTATCAGAATTACAATATATTTAATACAACATATGTTTATATTTTTAATATGTCAATCATGTATTTAAAAATTTTTCACCTTTATTAGTAACGATTGAGTATATATTACCCAAATAGTTTTATTGCAAATCATCTAACTTGTAGTTTATAATAGATTATTCAACAATCAACACATATATTTATTATTAAACAAGATTTTTTCTTGTAATCATATTTAGTAAGTTTTATTATGGAATACACTTGTAGTTTCAATATGAATAAATTTCATCCAAAACTATATTGACTAATAAAAAATACAGTTTTTTCCTCAGTGTAGTACGTTGACTCGAAATTAAAAATATGTTAGATTACTGAAGATGAATTTAAAGTAACTATTTTTTAAAATGATGGGGTTTTAGGTCACTCGAAAAATGTGATGTATACTTGTAAGGTGTAATTTAGAGAAATTTCCAAAGATTGGTACTTTGCTTAAATTATACTACTTAGAAGTGTTGCTGATGCGTTGGGAGTTTATGGGATGGAGTATTTTATTAATATGTGTTCTAAATTACTCTATTTTAAGGAAAGAGTTTATCAAAATTTATAAAAAATCTTGAACTTGCTTTCATGAATCTCATTTCTAAAATTTATCATGTAATGATAGTTCATAACAATTTTAAAATCTTACCTTTGTTGGTATCTTTTATTTTTTGCTAAACTTTAAATGAGATATTGATAGCTAAACTTTTTTGAAACCGCTGGCATAGTAAAGTCGATGAAATCCAGTACCTATACATCTACAATTTAACATAAATAATTTTAATCAGGATGATTATTAATGAAGCAACATTTTCTTCGCTGCTAGATATAATTATTTTGCTATAGGTATTAAAAAACTGAGAAAATAGATTTTCATCTATAACATAATCTAGATCAAGAACATATAGAGGTATGTGCAATATCACGGAATATGTAATACCTACACGTTATTTTTATTCGATAAATAATCTCGATAGTAGGAAATTAGAAATCTATGTATAGAGGTATGTTGAACCCAAATGAACCTAAGGTTATAATCAATTGGCGGTAATTGCAGAGTTTGCAGACTTTGTTGCATAATTACGAATTTTTCGCTAAAAATATTGTGTGCTTATGTGCAACTGATCTTTAATCATATTATTAAAACGTAATCATTCCCATCGAAACCGTACGGTCGCCGTTTTTTTTATTATACGCACACAAGGATGTGCACTTCAAACTCAATTACCCGCTTTTAGCAGAACCGCTTATTATCTCAAAAAACCAAGTGTACGGAAAATTAAGATATTAATGCACAAAATATATGCCGCGGAAAAGTAAATCCAGTCTTCGGAATTAAATTTTAATAACTTCATTTTATTCAGCGCGCCCGACGAGCCGTGCAAATCCTTAATAGCCATGGCATGTTATCGGCCAACACTTAACAAAAGTTTTTACTTTTTGTTTGCTCGTATGCACGCCGATGAAATCGGCAAGCAATTTATTAATAATAATAATCGATAATATTCATCAAGAGATCTTTCACCTTTTTTTCGCACAGGCGTACGTTATACGGGCATTTCCTTATCAAAAAAGATTATTAGATTGAGCCATTAATATAATTACTTAATTTTATTGAATACAACTATAATTATAGTAAATTGCACTTGCTTTCTTAAGGATATTTTACAAAAATATTCTATTCTGAAGGAATAAAAAAAATGTTATACCTATTTATTAGATAATTTTATAATTCCCTAGATGTTTATTTTCTGTTTTAATCGCGGTTTTATTTCTTTTCCAAATTAATTTTTTGATTTATTTTTTTGGAAAATATTACATTTTTTAAAAACCGTTGTTTTTCAAAATTTTTATTTTTTTTAATTCTTTGTCTTGGTTTCAGGAGGCGGTATTCTAGGTAAGCGAGTTTTATTATTTTCAAAATATTTTCAACCATCTAAATCTAATGATTCCGGTCGTTAAATATCTAAAATACTCGAACATCATTATTTTCTTTGCTAAATTAAGGTAAGTGTTCATATTTCTTTCTAACCAAATCATTACATGGCTGATTGAATAACGCGGTAACAAATTGATATCATTTAAAAATAATTTGTTCATTAAATTTAATTTATTTCTCATTAATTAATATTGTTTTTGGGTTATTCCTTATAGGATAGTACACTGAGAAAAATATTACAATTTGGTAAAAAAATAAAATGAGGAGGCAAACTTGCCATGGATTCAAAATCTCGCAATACTTCAGATATATTTCATTTAGAAATTTTCAGAATTTCATTCGAGTTAGCAAAAAATTGGAAACAACTAAGAACGGTTCAAGTTCTTTATAGCCCGTGGGCCATAAAAATAATTACAATTAAAGTCACAAAAGCCCGAGATCGCTCGATTGCGTAAGCGAATTTGTCGAATACGGCAATTTCTAATCTCAAGAGACAAATATCCACCGCCCAAGATTCGATAACGGAGAAACCAATAATTCTTCGGACGCCCCTTTACAGACATTTTATTTTTACATTTTCCAGATAAAGAAACTATAAATCACTAATAACTGAGAGAATGTGATGTAAAGATAAATCTCCGCGAGTGTATCCTATCTGGACGTTTTCAGATTTATTGTGTTCCTTCTTTGTTCTATCTATGATCGTGGATATCAGGTTTATTATTAAAATGAGGATTCTAAAGTTTCACAGAAGGGGGGCTTGTTTGTTTGCATACTGAATAAGCAGCTTTGCTCCTTACCGAAATTTGTTCCTCTTCACTGTGCTCGGATAGGTACTGTAAATAAAAATAAAAATATTTGATACACGCGTAACTTTATTGGAGATCTAACATAGATATAATTGAACATGATTAAGATAGAATGTATTTTAAAATTGTTCATCCATTATCTAGTATGTTTCCCATGGATCGATCGATCGCATTGTATCGGAGTAGATAACTTTAATCTATAGATCACTTAAATTCACCGGCAAGCGATCGAATTTATAAAAATCGGATTATGGTTTTCGTACTCGCTATAACAAGCTTTATATAAGAAATAAAACCATCGCTCCGGCCTTCATTTAATGGCGCAATTACTCTAACGATAGGAAAATTCGTATAAATAGTAAAATTAAATTTCAGGAGCTCGCTAATTACGTAGAAAACTTGCCGCAGCGCCGGGGAGTCTGCCTGGATGGAAACCCGCTGATACAACAAGAAACTTTGATTTATCATATCCTCCGGACTCACCCTGAGCCTCTCTGGTTTACATACACCCACTTGTCGGGTTCGAATGTCTCACGCCCAATGCGAAGCGCTCCTCTTTTTTACATATGTCTTTTTAATTTCTGTCCGCATTCACTTATGTTGATGAACGGTAATAACTCGCAGTCGGGCATTTGAATGCATGTTTGGGCTCATTAATGGATGTTTCTCGATGATGCTTTCTAAACCGCATTCGTCGTATCCCTATATCCGATTACGGTCCATCACGGACGTTCATCTGACCGTAAATCATAGTAATTTATTAAATCGGAACGAATTCGCTTCAGTTCTAAATGATTTTCGTTCACTTAGGAACAGCTATAGCTTCAAAAGAAGTCAGTCCTTAATTTAATTTCTGGATAAGAACCTACGGTAAAGCATACCTTCTTGAAATCATATAAATTTACTTAATTAGGTGCAGTAAGGATGATAATATAAAAAAATGATTAATGTTGAACATCTAGATTGAAAATAAATAGTAGGTGCTACCTAGAATTAATTCTCTTTTCCTCCAATTTAAATTTTTAGGGCTAACTGTACGTTATTCTTCATTTATATAATAATTCCCACAGCACAATTAGGTAATAGACAGGATATTATCTTTTGCTATTTCATATCACGAAATATAGTTTTGTATCGAAAATCGATTTTAGCGAGTATATAGGAAGATACGTTAAATAGATTAGGATGGTTTCCAATTTATGGAATGATTCTTTTCAATTAAAATCGAGTGAATTTAATAGCATCGTCAGTAGACAAGAGGAAGGTATAACATGACCCCGATGAACTCCTTCGAGAACATTATAAATCGAATCTAATTCCGCAAATCGATAACTTATTAATAATCGCGCGTTTTAGTTTATTTGGCTTTATGGTCGAGTAGTGGAGTATTCGCATCTTTATGGGACTATCGATAATTGCGTGTACGGCAGGCTCGATTGAGATATTCCCCCTAGTCGGTTGACTGGAATGAATTTTATTATATCGGGAGTGCATATTTCGTAAATAGCATGAGTGAAAGCATTAAAAGTCGTTTAGTAATCTTCGTGCATCTAGATATGTAAAACGAGAACATGCGGTGAAGGTAATGAAGACGATATCGACTGTGTTCGATGGTTCATCAATTTCTATCAGGGCAGATAACATCAACAAATATCCAGTTTACACGGGGCACCTCTCGACTCGAATCAGCCAATGCTGGAGGACTTTAGCTGCATGATGATGATTAAAGTAGCAATCATTTACGCCATTCCGGATGAATTTTATACCTTTATACGGACTTTATAAGGATTAGTTTCAACGCTTATATTTTAAAAATGTTTCCGCGAATTAATATAGTTAGATTTTTCTAATATTTCGAATCTTACAGACTTTCTTAATATGGACTTTCAATGTTGTATACCCTGGCCTATAAACCTTTTCTATAGTTATCTATAACAATTCTTTCCTACAATTTTTATGGAAGATATCACCTCAACAGTAATTCTTAAATCACTAATTTCCAATATTTGCACCTTTACCAAATACGTAGGTAACTATTTATGGGTGTACCTACACTGCAACTAAATTTTATTTTAATTTATATTAAAAACGGTCCGGTGTAGTATTAAAATTCTAATTATTCGAAAAAATGTCGGCGTGGAAATACAAATTTTCCGGGGCGTTAGGGCGCTTCGTCGACTCCCCCTTTGCTGCGGCGGCTCGCCGGCAATTCGACAATTTGGAGGAGACACCCCGGGGCAGTAGATCAAGCCTTCTTATAATTAGTTTGCTCGCGAAAACTAATTCATACGCAGGCAACACTCTCACAAGAAGATAAACTGTGATTGTAATTAATAGAGTAATTAAAACAAAGATTTAATATTGGAATGGGGTGGGCCATAATGAAAGGCGAATGGTAGTTTACTGGAGCAGTATTTACGTGTTGTGCATAACTTGGCAAGTTTACCTAAGTCCCCCCGGTTCTAAACATGTCGCCAACTTAAGCCTTTCTCCGTCTTCTGCAAAATTAGTGGGGGTTTCCTTTAAAAAAATTGTGGAAAATTCGACCAAAAAATGAACTTAAAATTTACCGTTTTTCGATTATAATCTCATTTTCTGAATATTTTTAGTGAATCTCCGTAATAAAAATAACTGTTCAACGTAAATATCAGCATACTGGAGTTCCGTATTATAACGTGACATTTCCGGTTATATAATACGGTTGAATCGTTGAAACATAAATGCATCTTTTTCTATAATAACCAGTTTTTTCCTTAAATTATTAAGAACTAACAGATTAATGTATTTTTGGTATTAAAAGCGGTGTTAATAAGATAAATAAAAGAGCTGATACGTCCTCCTAAAGTCTATAGTAGCATAACGTTTTAAGCGTTTAATAGCAGTTAAATTCCAATGGCATTAAGTGAATATTAATAGTAATTTACAGTTTATTGACTTCTATTGATTTGAATATTTTGTATCAACTAATAAAAAAACATTAAAGTTGAGAATATTACGTCAAAATTTATTGGTATTATTAGGCATTTAATAAAAATAATGCTCCCGTATATTTAAATTTATCTATATATTAAAATTTCTTTGATAGTACTGCACGAAGGGATAGAGTCAATTGGGTGTAGTTCGCAATTCGGCAAGGGGTTTAAATAGTTGTTTAACACGTTGTGAAATTTACTATTGCAAAAATTATTGATATACTGGTAGAAGTAGGTAAGGTACTGGAGTATTTAAAGAATTTTAGTTAAAAAGCGTTTCTAATGAAGACGTGCCGTAAATGCATGCAACCCATACGTTGGCTCTGCGATATATAATCCAAAAGGCGGTTAAAAATTGAGACTTACAACAACACCCGGAGAAATGCGGCACGAAATTCCTTTGTTCTCTCTTGCAAACAATGGAATGTAAAACAAGCTGAGAGCAAGTTTACATGTAATTTTAATCAAACATTGGTGCAGTAGCCTCCTCGAATTCGATATTATAATTGGGTATTCTAAGAGGTGCGATTTTGCACACAATTTGCAACATAAGCTGAAAACTATATAGATGTCCATAAAGATTCAAAGGGACTTTGCATAAGGCCGCAGTTTCGCAACTTCACACCCACCATCGGCTGCGCGATTTATACGCGCCGGTATTTTTTATTGTTTATAACAACTTCACCTTCTACACGGAAAGGAGGGAGACGTGAACCGAGAGAAAGAGAAAGCCATACCACATCCTAGAACAAGTATCGCACGGCTGTGTGTACATACAATAGGGCCGTCCGCGGCATTGTCATTTATAAATTACTAGTAACTAGAATAGTTTTGCATTAACTCATACCATTCTGCCATAATGTATTCTCTTCTTGGTAGTAATACTCTTTAGTCTAATCTTTGCATAACAGACTTAAGTCTTGTTCGTGTCTGCTATAACGCTATTCAGATTTCGACATAACTTTGAAATATTTCTAATTTTTTTCCGCTGTAGATCAATGACGCAATTTAATCAGAAACTGCATTAACTTTTTGAATATTTTATAACCATTTTTTCGCTGTAAATATAAATTGAAACCGTATAAAATACATCTACAATAATTGATGATATTATACACAAACGTTCGACATTTAAAAGTTGGTGAATTTTTAACAGTGGTTTTATTTTAAATATTTA